TAGCCCTCTTTCTCATGTCCTCCCAGCTCAGCACAAACTAGGAGTTGTTTGGCTGTTATCAGATAAGTGTAGAGTGAATGGCATATAAAATGAACCCTTACTGACCAAACGTATCCATCTGTTCGGTGCTGCAGTCACACCGACAGCACCTTTGCTCACATCTCTTCCTAGAAGTTGAATTATTATTCAACAAAATGAGAAGTGGCAAGTACAGAATCCTCAGCTTACCGGCACTGTGTGCTATTGTTGCTTTGGTTCTGTGGAACGGTTCAGTTGCTAGAGCGGCCGTGGAACTGCTAAAGAACCCCGGGTTTGAGAACGGAGTGACGTTCTGGTCCCATGATGGGTTTAGCATGATCACCACAACGGAGCAGGTGCATGGAGGACGAGTGGCCGTCAAGTGTACTGGCAGGTCAGTCTTCTACCTTTGGCTATGCTTCTTTTGTTTGTCTGCTCTGACCCAGAAGGATTTTGGTTCAGTTCCATTTGCTGTAGAATGTACAAAAATGTTAATGGTATTTGTAAAATGTATAATATTTAACGCCTCTTTCAAAAAGGCACGGTTATTTAAGACAGTAGACGGCAGAATTTACCACCCATCTGCAATAGAGTTGTGCTAAGTAGATAACCTTGACAACGCTCCCAACATCTTGGATTTAAGAATGCCACCCCACCTCCCTCCCCCTTGTGGATTCGAACCAGTGCCATCTGTACCATTGCACATCATTATAATATCTATTGAGCTAACGTTGAGCCTTGCGGGGTCCGTCGCTCGGTGAGTAAAAGCCCAATTTCTGGTGCACACAACCTGAACACGAGGCATCTATTTATGTATATATATTTGTTGTCGCATTGAGTAGGCCTACATTATGTATTTGTATTGTTCACTCATAACGATGTATTTGTGTGCGTGTGATGAGAGAGAAGATATGTGTGTGTGAGTGTGTATGTATGTTGACGTTTGTGTGTGTGCGTAAGTGTGTATATATGTGCGTGTGTGTGCGTGAGTGAGTGAATTAAATGCATGTAAGTGTATGTGTGTGTATGTGTGTGTGTGTGTGTGTGTGTGTGTGTGTGTGTGTGTGTGTGTGTGTGTGCGTGTTCGCGTTCGTGTGCGTGTGCGTGTACGTGTACGTGTACGTGTGCGCGTATGCCTGTTTTTGCATATGTGTATGTTTCATTACTTCTGTGTGTACATGCACGAAAATATCAAACGTTCCTTCACAGAACTCAATCTTGGATGGGTCCTGCGCAGAACATTCAGATCTCCCGAGGCAAACAATACATGTTCAAGTCTTACATAAGGCTCATCAAAGACCTTCCAGGGAAAATGTACCAGAAAGCCGTCGTGAAAATCAGCTTTACGTTGAAAGACGGTATGTTCATGTTGGCGTCTTCTGTTTGAATAGATGTGTTACATGTATTTTAAAAGACTCAACACTGAAAAGGTGCAGATCTGTATATTTTATAGAAATATGACCAAAAAGATCATATTTTTCTTCTCTGTTTTGGATACTGTTATATCTGTCCATAGTGCAGTATGTTTACAAGACATAAAACAAGATAGGTTTTTTTAACCAGTCTCAGAAGACGCCAACGATTCCGTGAAACCAAAACCCTTGGCGATATACACGCAAAGGGATAGATGTTGCTACGCGAATACAAACATTACTTTGTTTCATTTCTCAAACAGTCTCATTTAGAATACCCATTGCTCCTTCTCTCTGCATACAAAATTCGTCAAGTGCTAAAAACAGTACCGGTATCCAAGAGGCCCTCGGAATTTTTGTGGACGCTCTTCTTTTTAGTATCCCTAACAGAGGACTCACAGAGGAGTGGCCAACGCGCTTTTAATAACATGCATGAAATTGTTCCTTGCCGTCTTTGGAACTGGACTAACATTTCAGTAATGGATTGATGTATCTTATTAAAGCATTTAGGCAGAAACCGCTTATGAACAATTATGTCAATTTCTCAGGTTCCAAGAATTACTTCCCTGTGTGCACCAGAGCTTACCTGACGGCAGCTGACGGGTGGACCCTTTTGGGTGGTGACTTCTCACCTCCAAACATTGGTAGGAAGCTCATCTGCTCGCTCTCTCTCTC